CCCCCCCCCCCCCCCCCCCCCCCCGGTGGTGTATTTTACTTCTTCTCTTGCACCCCTCTGTGTATAATGTTGAAAAGGTCTAGATAAATGCCTATATAAGATTTTTCAAAACATTTATAAGTATTTCTTAAAATACAGAAAAGTTAAAAGCTTTAAGTATTATCACTGTATATACAACAGTCAAATAGAGTCTCAAAACCAAAACAATCCAAATTAGTATTACCGATAAGACTGTGATGACTCCTCCTCTTCATCTCCATGCATAAGGTTTTGGACTAACTGGAGAATGCTTACCATATCTTGTCCACTTGGATAGAAAAAAAATATAAATCAATGAGCATCCCTCATGCACAAAAAGATTCAAACGTGAAAGCCATTTCCAATGTTTAGCACCGTGATAGAAGGTGGATATTAGGTTTTGTGCTATAGACTCTGGGAGCTGGCAGGGGAAAAGGCTATCTGTGCTTGGTTCTGCTGATCCCTAGCATCTTGCCACAGAAGGATAATAATGGGAACGCCGCAGTAAAAATAAATATCAACTCTTCATGAGAAATCAATAGGCTAAAGGAGCAAGTCTTTCTATAGGTTTAACTGAAATCTGAGGGTTTGGACTTAAGGTTTGAAAGATTACCTACCCTCTAGCACTTACTGAAGCAAAGACCTAGCTAATGGCATTCCAAGTGTATTTTCACAGGTCCAGTCATAAGCTCACAAACTGATCATACTTTATAGTTAGCAACATCACAAGTATCTCTATAATAGTCTAGCTGCTTACCAGTATTAACTTTTAGTGCACAGAGGTTATATCTTTGACTATTTTCTGGTACTGTGCATCCTCAATACCAGTAAAAAATACAAAGTTATGCCATACCAGTTCAAGATGACACAACACCCAACTTAAACCCGTGTTAGCAAATACAATTAAAAATAATTACAGTATTAAAAACCAAAACATTTATATTATCTAAAAGCATGGTCAGCTTCTTAGAATAATTAATTTCTGAGACCAATTCATATTTGCTTTCCTGAACTCCAAAAAAGACTTTTTGTCAAGCAACTTCCTCCTGCAGTGAAATCAATATTAAATTAGAATGGAAACTGAACAGCAGCCTTAGTTCGGACCTTCTTGTGAAAAAGAGAATGACAGAAACTTAAATCTTAACTTTCAGATACATTGGTCTGTCCTGTGCACAAGTCACTCCATACAAACTCTCAGGCTGTTGTGCTGAACAACACACACATTTTGGTAAAAGCCAATTGTCCCCCTAAACCAAGAATTTTTCACGTTACTTTGTACTCTACATAGGACAAATTTCTCAAGAATAAATTTCTTATCTTTGGCAGCATATAGCCACTTTGCCAATACTTTAACAAAGGTCTTTGGCTTTATTATAATTTTATATAGATTTATTCTACTCTCAAATATTGCTATCTACCCTAAAGTTTATTAGTGACCAGTATCACAAAATTGCACTACGAGCAAGTAATATTTTTGATACACGAATAAAATGTATCTATCCAAAGAACAGCACAATGCCTGGACGGGTAAACTTTCATGGGAGTTTCCATGGAAATTATACACTAGTACAGGCATTTAAGAGTTTGTACATGCAGTGTGCATCTAAAGCAGGGGTTGTCAACTAGGGGTAAGTGTACCCCTGGGAGTACTTGGACCAGTTCTAGGGGGTACGCATGGGTGGGTGGGAATGGAGTGCCACTGCCTCCCAGGAGCAGGACTGGGGTATGGTGAAGGCATCGGCGCCGCTCTGCAGGGTGGGGAAGCTCATACATGGTGGTCGCTGCTGCCACATGTGAGCCCGGTGAGCTTCCCCGCCTCGCCCCAGCCCTGCTCCTGGGAGTTGGCGGCACTCTATCCCTGCCCGCCTGCGGTCCCTGCCTCCCTACTCAGTGTCTAGCCACGCCCCCACCCCTTCACTCAGCATTCGGCCGTGCGCTACCCAGCACACCCCCTCCCCCCCCCCAGCCATGGGGGGTACTTAGGCTAAAAAAAGATTGAAAACCCTTGATCTAAAGTCACCATGACCTACCTGCCTTGGAGTGGTCCAGGAATATCTTTCCTTGCATACTTCTTTTCATTTTCCTCCTCTACTTTTCTAATTTAACATACAAAAATGAGAATTACTAAGTAGTTTTACTTTGTGTTACATAATGCAAAATTCTTGGTGCTGTTTGATTCTCGTGTAACTGCTATACAAGCTAAGTGCTATTAAACACACACTGGACTGACCCAGTAAATACGCCTCGTTTAGAAATTCCCTCAACAGAAAAATAATGTTGACCTGAATATTGCAGAAATTAAGTACAAGTATCTGCTCATTTGTCCTTGAAGTAGTAGGAAAAAACTCTTCTCCTTGCTTAAAGAAGGTGGCATCAATATCCACACACTTAACATGCATAGATAATCACAATTGTTCTTGCAGCCATTATTCTCTGCAAATACCTTTGATTGTCTTCTAGCATTTTCATGGCCTCATTAAGATTCTTCCCCATTTCTGCTAAGGTAGGATCAACCATCTGTTATTTAAACACAAACACACAAACCTCAAAACACACATATGAACCAGCTCTCTTACTAAGTTTTCCAAAGCAGCATAGTTATTGTAAACATATTAAACAGATTTACATTGCTCAAAACAAACTCAAAACACAACATTACCAAGTATTAAATCTTCAACGCAGTATATATTTAATGATTTTGACATACTGAACTAAAAAACCCAAACGGCATAGCAATATGAGTTCTCTCACTGACAGACCAAAACCCTGAATTCAAACAAGCAGAACTGAAACTCATTTTAGATTTTCCCTAGAACGTGCAGGGTGTGCCCTTTGGGGGAGGACGGTGGTGCAAGAATAGCAGAAAAAGGTAGACAGTTTGATGCCTTGACTGAAAAGCTTCAGGAAAGTTCAAGGTGCTCAGATTAGGCCCATTACATATAGTTTGGAATGACAAATTCAGATCTGTTACTGATTCAGACATATATATTTTTAAAAATTTACAACTATCAGCATCACGAAGAACAAGTATGTTATTCCTACAGGAGAATTAACATAATATTGCGCAGAGAAACGCTGCTGGTCTTAATCTTTCCATAAAGCTTGGAATGGAAACTAGGGAGACGCTTGTTGACACAGTGAGTTCTTTTTTAGGGTATAGAGATTCTGACCCTGACCAAAAAAAGCAAACATTACAATGGTGGAGGGTAAACAGAAAGAGGAAGAGGGAATGGAGGAATGAAAGCTACTACACTGGATAAGTTATTGTTGTCTCCATAAAAAAAAAAAAAAAAAAAAGAGTTACCTTTTTGCAAGACCTAAAAGTGAAAGGTTTTTTTTAATCAGGTTGTATGTCACTTTTTTCATCTGAACCTCAGGGAAAAATTATAAATGCATAGTATGTATGGACGCACACTAGACAGGTGACAGATAGGTGGTTAGACTTCTAGTTCCAATAAGAGATCATTAAACATGCTTAAAATATTAACTACCATGAAGGAAACTAAACTGCATGACATTTAATGTTACTTTAGATAGAAAGAGCAAGGAAGATAATGTTTCAGACTCTCTCACTGAGGAAAAAAAGGGCAGAAAGAGGCAGAAAAACAACAGCCTCTGCTGGCAGGGCACACAGCGGTGCCGGCAGCCACCACTGCCTCGTGTGCTGCTGCCACCTTGTTACACCTCCTGACAGTCCTGTCACGGAGGTTAGACACATACATTTGAAATCATTTCAAAAGGGTAGCAGGGGCTACGCATTCCTACAGTTATATATGGACAAGTTAGGAATGATACAAATGTGGCAAAACCAACCCAAATTTAACACTGGTTCATCCCGAGTCAATGCTGGAGTGGTTTTGCTAACAGTGGACAAAGCCAGAATGATACAATTAGAATATAACAGCTCCTGCCCTTTTGAAACATTCCCCTTGTGAAACAGCTCCAAATGTCCATACTGTAAGGACATGTCCACACAAGAGCAGGAACGTGCGTCTCCCCAAGGACAAAGCAGCAGCACAATATGTGCTGCTACTGCTTGCCCACGGGAAACACCCATGAACACGCACTCTGGCGCACAGCACTTTACCCCAGGTGGAGTAGGGGAGGCTGGGTCCAGCACCTGGGCTGGCCCCAACAGCCTTACCAGAGGTCCTGAGGGCCTCCAGCCATGGCAATCTGGTAGCACAGAGTCTAGCTGGCAGCAGCAGTGTGGTTTTTTTTTTTTTTAGGGATCCCAGCATCAAACCCCACCCCGCCCCTTGCAAATTAGCACTGCAGGCAATGCCTGCATGTGTGGCACATGCAGCGTGCGGCACCGCAGACTGTACACCCACACTTGTCTGGACACACCCTAAGTGTCAGGCTTAGTCCTCACCTGTGACTTACCACCAATTGAGGCAGCTGGGTTATAAGGCCAACAAGCAGCTGAAGAGTAAGTGTGGCAGGGGTGAGAGAGTTCCTAAAGTGAAAGGACCTGTATAGGGGCTTGCTATACCAGAGAAAAAGACATAGGGATACCTGTTCTGCAGACAGCAGCAGAAGCTGTCCCAGTCAGAAATTTCAGGAGGGGACAGCTGGCAGGACTTTATTTACCCATGTAATGTTCAATTCTGTTTGAACACTAAAACACATCCCTGGGAAAAAATTAGCAAATACAGAGAGTGGTAGAAGCTTCACTGATAGAGCTGGCCCATGCGATTGAACAAGTAGAGAAACTAAGGCAGAGCCAGGTTCTGATACCAGGAGAAGCCCTCTTTCCTCTTGAGTTCCAACACTCCTCAAGGCCTAAGCTTCAATCTAGAAATGTATGCACAGCCTCCCTTCAGAAGACTGGTCCTGATACCAAAGTCTTTGCTACTAAAATAGTTTTATACACTGTTTTTTTCTTTTAAATTAGGATTTTTAAAACCTGCAACAATAATTATTTTTTACAAATATTTTGAGGTTCTATTAAATTACACGAGACGGGAATAAGAAGGATGGTGTGGCTAAAAGTATCCACAGCCGTTTAACAAAACTCTGCAAAATTTCAAGTTGTATCATGAAATAAGCAATAAACAAAAATATAGCTTGAAAATTAAAAATCAAGTGCTTGCCATCATGTTTTAAGAAAGAAAATAAACAAGAAAAAGTTACTTTAAAAAGGTAAGCAGAAAGCACTGAGTCTATTATGTTTCTTATCTGTGATATTTCTACACATTTCTAGTGACGCTCTCATGATATTCTTTCCATCAAATGCAAAAGTCTCCATTTATATAAAGTAACCTCTACTGGCATAAATGGCACACACTAAAGGGAGAATGCCATTGATTACTGCAGCCTTTAAGTCACACAACATGAAAAATACTTAGCTGGAATTAAGTAATGTATTTGTATTAAATACAAAAAACACCAAGATTTTTTTAGTACTGCATGCAAAATAATCAAACAGATCTGTCCCAGATGCTGACATTTGTCAAATGATCTAATTGTCCTATCAAATGATCTAATTGTCCTTACGATGGTAAGCTATAAACAAACAAAAGCAACTCATAATTCATTTGTTGCGACTGTCAGGAGTTAAATTTTGCAGGTGTTTACCTCCCCCTGCCCCATTATTCCATCTCATCTTTGTTTTATAGCTGCCATATGTGCAAACATTTTGCCAGTACAACTGGCAAAGTACAGTAACCCGACAGCATTTTAAGTCTGCTATTCTTTGCCATAATGCTGCAAAAGATTAATTTGAATTACATGAAATAACTAAATTCTTGTTGGATGTTAGGGTTTTGTATGGACTTCATTGTCAAATTAAATTATTTTCATTACTTCTTCCATAGGCTACCTGAATATGTAATCACATTTGTTTTCTTACTTGAAATACACATTGTAACGTACAGATGTGTAGGTTAAAAAAGTTAAAAAAATAAAAGTCAAGTAGGGTTAAAAAGCATACACAGAGCCATAACTCCCTAACAATGACTCTGAAACCAAATCTGATGCCATGACCTATTCTTTCTCCCATGTGGGATGGGATGGTCTGACAGAACAGGGGTGGAAGTACAACTTGCATAAGCTCTACTACTCGTTTTAACATATTCACTAAGTGTTTCCAAAGCACAAGAAGTCAAACACAATCTATTCACCAACCTGTAAGGACTTCGAGGTTTTCTGACTTGGTGCAAAACACTTAACTTCTTTTCCTCAACTTTGCCACCAGCAAAATAGGTATGATAACTTACAGGGATTCTGAGATGATAGCCATGAACAGCACATGAATACATCGGAAGCACTGTAAATTCTACTCCAGTGCGGAATGCTTCATATATGGGGAACTTCACTGCTGTACAGACTGTCTCCAATTGCTCCCCTTAGCTGGAGCACTTTAAAAATCACTGCAATGCTAGGTACAATAGCAGGTTGTTCAGTCCTGTAGGTCCAACTCCCTCCAGAAAAAGTGTGCAGGGGGAAAAGGGAAGTGGAGCAAAAAGTCAAAGGGTACTCTCCTGTGTGTTCAGTCTCCGGTTTCCCAGGTCTGGAGGCTAAGGTGTGCAAGTAATCCTTTTTGTTAGCCTCAGGGCTGAAGAGAAAGATTCCTTACATGCTTTCCAAGCTCCAGAGAACACAAAGGACAACCCTGTGCACAAGACAGCACTCACAGGCTGCTCACCCTGATCTCCCGTCTCCTCCCCAGCGGGGGTGGAAAGGGCAGTAAGAGTGGAGCACTGTGGGATGCCAGAGGACTGAAGAACCTCCCCCATGTACTCTGTAGAGTACACAGGCATTTCAGGAAGTGCTTAAAAGGATGTTCCTCTTTTTTTGAAGCACTCCTTTGGCTGGAACATCTATTTGCTCACTCCTTGGAGCACCTTAAAGGTATTTGGAGCACCTCAGACATTAAGTCTTCCCAGGGCCTTAATTACTATTTGTAAAAAGTGTTTCATGATCCTCTTTTGAGACGGAATATTATCCCTTTAAGCTATGCTGTCCATTGCTTACTTACTAAAGCTTCCCAGTTAGTATTTTTTCATACTATAGCCTGGAAGCAGCAATGCAAGCACTTTGAAACTCTCTTGAGATGAGCTTTCCCCCCCATACAAATTATAATGCCTCAGCATTTAGTCAGCTATAAGTCATATCTGGTTTCCATTTCTAGGGCCATCCCTTTTCCCCCAAACAGGTTTTCAACCAATACAATGAAGAACTTCTTTTGTTAGATCATGTCTACCCTGAAGCAGTACGAGCAGCATTTGTGCTGGAATGCAACTGCTTACAATTTCACCAGTGTGCATTCTCTCACAAGAGGTTGCTTTTGCCACTACAGTGCCTCTGTACTCTGTGGGTAGGCATTCTTGTGCTCCCCAAGCCACTATCCTGCCTTCAGAGACATATTTTAAAGCACTGTGGGATATCTGCTCCATGGAATTATGGAACCACCAGTCTCCCCCAATTCTCCCTGTACCACCCCATAATTTACCCTTTTTTGTATCTGTATCTTAATTTCTTTACCATCTTGCCAAAGGAAACATCACTGATAT